TAATCATAATCATAATAGCAATTAAGCTCTGAAAAAGTCAAAAGTTTTGTGCTGTGCCTCTTATTAAATAAAAAAATATTAATTGGGGCGAAACTAAATATTATTATTATTATTTATACGTAAGCTTCAGAAAAATACAAAATGAATTTGACCTTCTTATCCCCGTTCCACCGCCCAATACAATGGTTGTTTTCTTTTAATATCATCAAATGCTAATATTAATATTTAATATAATTATTTTTTTTGTCGAGTACTTGGTAATAACATCAATGCGACCACTATAAGTCCTAAAATTATATAATAAATAACATTAATATAGTGAATTTAATTCTTCAGTAAATATAGTTCTTAATGTACTTCAACGTTGAATTTCATCACTGTGATAATATTTTCTAATTGACAATATTCCAATGGAACCTATATGTACTCCATTAATTAATTGTATTAGACACAGTCCATACGAAAGAAAAGTGTATACAGTTTTAAAATACTATTAAACCATATTATATCGTTTATATACGATATTATACCACTGAAAAATATCTCTTTTTATTTGTCTTTATTTCAATTCAAATTTAGTTTATTTCTATTTTTTCTTTCATTTTTATTAACATTTCATTACATATTAGGGTAAAGTACGACTTGTATTATTATACTTTATTCCTGTTTGACAACACTAACATCATATATTCGAATAATCTTTAGTGGTTTTTATGCTTGATATGGTAGAAAGTGAGTGTAAATGATAACTAAATTGATTACGGATAACGAATATAACTCTACAGACAGATTTATAATAAAAGAAATGTAAAAGGAAAATAAAAAAAAAATATTTTACCTTCGATGTAGGAATTAAAATTAGATATGTTAGACAAAAAGAAAATAAAAATAAAGAATTAAATTTCTTTATAGTTGACCCATGAAAAGTACTGGTTGAATGAAATTTACAGCAATAATGAGTGAGGTTTAGAAAAAAAAGGAGATGAACAGTAATAATTGATTATACTTAATTTGAAAAATGTTGGTTGCACAAAAGATTAACAGTGCAAGGCAATGCAAGCCGTAGGCCACTAATTGTGGTATATGTATATTATAAGTATTCAAAATATTGTAATATATCTTAAAGAAACCTTTTTCACTAATTGTGGTATATGTATATTATAATCTTTATTTATAATAAATAAGTAATGAGTGTTAAAAACATTATTAAAATTAACTTAGGTATATAAAAATTACTTTAGAGAGAATAGAAAATTTTAGATTTGACTTTAAACTGCATATCCATCAAAATTCTAGCATCATGAAATAGATCCATCTTAGCCCCCATATAATGCAAAATGCAAATGTAAGACAAATGTTAAAATCACATAAAACCATGACTTATGTGATTAAAAATAGATCCATCTTAGCCCCATATAATATATATTTATATCATTAAAAATAACCCAATCTTAATTACTTATGAGTACAGTTAAATATTTTTCTATCCAAAATTTTATATAATGTGATTCTAAAATAACTTTATATTACAATTTCTTGTTAAAAATGTATAAGAATATTTATTAAATGCTTATTTCTCATGCAAATAACAAATATTTCAACAATACACGTGATATTTTAAGCAATTAATGTGTTGATATTAACGCCAATAAATAAATATTAAGGTTTGTAAGATGAAAATAGAGGTTCTAAAATTTTTTATTATAATATTGAGTAATTTAATCACAATTAACTTTAACAATCACTTTCCAATTTTTTTCTTAAAATATTGAAGGTAATAATATATATCTGTAACAATTTACAATTTTTAAAATGATTTTAGTTGATAAATATCACTTTTCAAGTTTTTCTTTAGAATCAGATAAAGAATTATAGTTATTGCATAGATGCAAACATTATGAGTATAAGAAATTATTAATATAAGATAGAAGATAAAAACATAGCCATTTATAATCAAGAAAACAATAAACACATTTAATTTCAAAATAGTGATACATGGTAATATGTGTATAAAATATCATCATATTGCTAGTTCTTATCTTCTTAAAGAACCGTGATAGTGTGAGACTACAATAAAGATATAGATATAGATATATAGATATATAGATACAAGATGATTTTATTTAATCTGAAGAAAGGAAAAGATAGAGAAGAGATTGAAGGAGTGATCGATTACAGTAATATTTTGTGGAGAAGAGGTTTATGGCTTGACGGAGGAAGAACGAAGAAGGCGATAAGCGGAGGGAGAGCGGTTCAGACAGACACAGCCAGCAGAAGCTTTACGAGTTAGTCTCTGTTGCTCCTCTTGTTCTTCACGAGAATACTCCATTTCCATCAACACCTTGTAAAAGATATCAACCTGGCAGGGAAGAGCCAAAGGACCTTGGCTGCTGTACCCATACTCCGATTCTGCTTCTTCCAGAAGAATCTTGAACAAAGGGTGATTAGCGTACTCGGTCTTGATAACGAACCTCTGCATTTGTGGTCCAACGTAGACGGAGAAACAACCTTCGGGTGCCACACAACTGCTGTTGCTGTTGCTGCTGCCGGTCTTCTTTGCTCCCTTGCGGCTGGGCCAGGATCTGCTCCTCATCATCATCATGCTGCTTTTGCCTCGTCCTATCCACTTGCATCGCTCCAACGTTTTGGTGATGAGCCCTTTTCCCACCTTCTTTTTCACCATCCCTTCCACATCACTCATCTCCGAATCGATTCAGACAAAATACTAAATATATAGCAATTAATGAGGGAAGAATCGAATTGAAGTCAACCCCTGTCGTAAACTAAATTAAACATGGCCTTACTCCTCGGCCTCATTGTGTTGCTCATGTGCGTACGATGAAGAATAGAAAACTAATGTCGGAAGAACATTCGACGGTAAGACATGAGTATGATAAGAAGATATATATCAGAAAGGATCGGAAGAGAAGAGATGAAGAGGCCGCAGCAGCAGCCATCACCTTTATACTAACGCTCTACATTTGTCAACGCCACTATTTCTTTCCTTCCATTATTATATTATTGCTTATACTCACACGAAGCCTCTACTTTCTCGCTTCAGATTTTTTATTGGATTTTTTCAACCACAATTTTTCCACAATTCTTACTTTCTATGCACCAAAAATATACTTTTAACACAAATTTTTTAATTTTTTTACCATTTGATACTACCTTTTCTATTTTTTATTCTCTTTTATTAAAAAGTACCAAAATTTACTTCTTCTTTTTTATAATCATTTTATCTGTATTTTAAATGAATATAAAAGTGTATTTCTTGTTTTTCTTGTTTACTCGTTAATTAATTAACTTTGTTTTTCTTGCCTTCAATTTCTACCTTAGCGTGTAAGGACATGTAATGTATCACACGTCAACCTAATACATTTCTCTATTCCCCAGTTAAATCTCTCATTGTATTCTATTTTATTCCAATTACAACTTCTTAATATTCTTCTCCTGTCATCATTATCTAACCACTTTTCAGATATACCTTTTTTTTTTTTTTAATCTCTATGCCAATGCATAACTAATTGTCAGCTAGTTTCATTTATTAAATATTTAATAATAATCTCCACAATTTTAAGTCAATGCCAATTTTTTTTTTAATAATATCGACACATTTTAAAAAAATTATTACCAATGAGATTCTGCTACGCCTACAACCTTTTCTTCAAAAAAAATATTGTTAAACTTTTTTCTTCTCCCTTATTGTCACTCTAAATATATAGACAGATATAAGAGTAAGTCAAAGTATAAATAAACTAATGTCAATGAGCAACATTTAATTTTAGTGCGAGTTAATAGGTATATATGATGATAAGTTTGGTAATTACTTAAATTATTTACTTTCCAATCTTTTTAATATTTATAACTAATATATTTTTTTTTTTGTGAATTATTATGTTACTATAACACTTATGGTTATAGTTAAATAGGTTACTAATATATTTTTTAATATTTTTATAGAGAAATAATAGTCCGATCTGACTTGAAAAAAATGAAGTCATTAACTAAAAAGTCTTATATAATAATAATTGACTCCCAACAAGTAACATATAAAAAGATAATTCTAACTTTTAATTAATCCAGTAATAGTACTAAATGAAAACTTCCAAAAAAAAAAAAAAAAAAAAAAATCAAAACGTATTATGTTATTTTTACTCAACAAGTATCTGACTAAGCCAACATTAAATTTATGAACATAAATAAGAAAGAAAAATTTTTCTGAGGGAGTGAACTCTTGCAATGTATAGAGCTTTTTGGATACTTACATTTCAAAGCCTTTGTAATTTAATTTCTTTGCTTTAAACTTTGTTTTAGTAAAATTTGATGTTAATCTACATTTAACATAAATAGTTAGAGGTGATATCTATATCTTATACGAATTTAATTCTTATATTATTCAGTAAATTTTACATTTTCTTACTCATTTCTTGGACTAATCAACCAATCTTCTATTTATTGGAATAAGATGTAATAAAATTTGCTTATAATAATATAATTGTGATAATACCCAATAATACAATCTTGATGTTTCTGCTAGTATATATTGAAATAGTCATAAAAAAACTTTGATATTGATATTTTTGCCATGTTATATAAAAAGAAAAAAGTTAAAATATTAAACAAAGTAACTCGTACAATAAACTGTCAAAGAAAAATCAAATATGAAAAGAGTACTAAAGAGAAACAAAATAATTTTAATATTTAATGCATGGTCTATTTATAAAAGAACAACAGATAATGTATTCACTATCAATAAAATTTGTCCATAATCAAACTAAAATCGTATATGCTTTACCTAAATATTATAACTTGGCACAAAAATACTCAACAAGGGTAATTATTATTTTTTTTAGATTTTGAAACTAAAATTATCGAACAAGTTTTTTTCTTTTCAAACTTATTCTCAAGATCAATTATTACCAAAACTGTTTTCAAAACTGAAACAAAATAGAACAGTGTAAAAACTTAGAACGAGAAAAAACAAAAGTAAGACTGAGATGATGTTGGAAAATATGAAAATGGAGTGTGTTTATAATATAATATATGAAGGATGAGTGGCATTGGTAAGATGAATGAAGAAATTAGTAATGGAGCGTGGAAGGTGATTGGGAAGATTGGGTGTCTTGGGTTTCATAATTAGTGGAGTTTGGTGGACTTCACCAAATTCTTTCACTACAATCTGTTTGTTTGTAAATAAAATAATATTAATAGAGAATAGAATAGAAACTCTAACCCTTACTGTTGCTATGTGTTTTGATTCCCTTGCAGTTGATTGCGTTGAGTTGCAGTTGCAGTTGCAGTTGCAGTTGCAGGTGTATTGTTAACTCTGAATTTCACTGAGTGATTGATCATTGATTGGAATTTGGGGATAAACATTAGATGGGTTGCTTTTCCTGTTTCGATTCGAGTTCAAGTTCGAGGGAGAATCACAACCTCCGTTCTCACCACCACCCACAACCCAATTCCAATTCCAATCCCAATCCCAATATCAATCTGTCTCTCCCTTCTCAGATTTCCAAGTTGCCATCTGGTCAGTCTCTTACTTTTTTTTCATCTCATTTCAAGCTATCAAATCAATTAGCTATTTAATTAGTTGAATTCTAGGGGATCCACAACACAATTCATATGAATTCTTTCTGTTGCAATTGGAATTGCAGGAGCAGACAAGTTACGGTCCAGAAGTAATGGAGGTTCCAAAAGGGAATTGCCTCCTTCCAACACCAAGGAAGGACACGGACCCG